TTTTAGTAGAGACGGGGTTTCACCATGTTGACCAGGATGGTCTCAATCTCTTGACCTCATGATCCACCCGCCTCGGCCTCCCAAAGTGCTGGGATTACAGGCGTGAGCCACCGCGCCCGGCCAGAGGGCTGTTCTAACTAGTACTTCTTCCTATGGAATGGAACTAGAGAAAAGAAACTGCGCCACAAATGAAGAAAAAACGTTTTTAAAGGAAATAAGGAAGGAAAGACGGGAGGACTAAAGGAAGGCAGGCGGGCAGGGAGGAAACTCTTCTGTCTGTATCACAACCTGACTTGTACCAGAAAGCAAAGGTGCGAAGGATTTCTCCAAAATCTATGTTTAGAAGAAAAAGAATTAACAGAGAGTAAGAAAGAAGGAGCTCAATCTGATGGAGGGTTTTGAATTATCATCATTTTATACGTTTCATTTACAAAATACACAACCATTCTTCTGTCTCATCCAACAGCTATGATACACATAGAAAACTAACAGAACTTTGTATTTTGATATCTGAGCTTTGTGCCTGTTTAATGTTTGTGGGGAATTAATAAAGTGGTTTAGTTTTGCCATATCCATCTGATAAACAGAGAACAAGAACATGATCTCTTCTGTTTATGAAGAGCAAGGTAAAATGTGATTTGATGAATTACCATCAGTTTTTAAACTGGTGCTTCAGGTATCAGCAAACAAGAATAGGATGCCCTATAATTTCTGGGTCGACAGCTGCTGCTCCATTAGCAGCTGCCTTCCTGAGGGTTGCCTGGTCCTAAGAGCATGGATCCATGGAGGTAAGGTTGAACTACGAACAGAGCTTGGCCAAGAATCGCTTTTACTCTCTGAGTGTTCAGGAGGGAATTTGGTAGATTATTATTCGTTGATTTATGGCAGCTGAATTTAATTACTCCAGTCTCTGATTTTTTTCCTTAACAAAGCATTTGGTGGGGAATAACAGTACATCTTTCTCTATTTCTAAACAGTTGCCAAAAAGTGCAGAGAATTGCTTCCAATGTTCTGTAAGAGACTAGTTGCCTAAATTACCACCGTGGAGCAACCCAGGTCCTCGGGAATGCCTGGATACATTTTCTTCTGGAAAATTCCCTTCACTGTCTGGGTGTGTTCCTCCAGGAGAAGCTTCACACTGGCTGGGCATGGTGGCTCACACCAGTAATCCCAGCTCTTTGGGAGGCCAAGGTGGGTGGATCACTTGGGGTCAGGAGTTCAAGACCAGTCTGGCCAACATGTTGAAACCCCATCTGTACTAAAAATGCAAAATTAGTCAGGCGTAGTGGCGCGCACCTGTAATCCCAGTAACTCAGGAGGCTGAGGCAGGATAATCGCTTGAACCCAGGAGGCAGAGGTTGCAGAGAGCTGAGATCACACCATTGCACTCCAGGGTTACAGAGTGAGACTCTGTCTCAAAATAATAGTAATAAAAAGATGCCCTCCTAAGCACGACCCCTCTGATACCCAAGCTGATTATAACTCACTTATTTTAGTTCACCTCCAAGCAGGTACAATCACAGACTTCACTTTGTTTTTCATCTAGAAAGATAGCAACATTATCATCTGATATTAAACATTTTTCTTTATGAATTCTTGAACATGCTTACAAACCTAATCTAACTGATGACTGGGGAAAACTTCAGCACTTACTTTGTGTGTTTAGACCACACTTAGGTGTCTTTCAAGTCATTAAAGCATTGTTGATTTATTGCCACCTTGTTGGCCTAAAATATTGGTTCTGTCCTTGCTCAGCTATGAGAAGCAGTTCCCCTTCTCTGGAGATGACCCTGACACATCACTTACTGAGTGCTGAATGAACAAATCAACGCATGCAGGTCAAAGACAGAGCCAGGAATCACAAGCTCATGACTTTAACTTAGTGACTTTTGAACAGTTGTCTCTTTTACTTCAAGTTCATTTATTCCCCTCTGACAGCTGAAGGATGTTCGCATGTTATCTTCCTTGTAGGAGTTTTACAGGCTAGGATTAGCGATGTTTTTAACCAAGAACAGACACAGCAAATGAACGAATGGAGTGAGCAGCCTTGGGGAAAAAAAATCATGATAACAAAAAAGACTTGTTTTGCGTTTGTTAATCTAGTTTTTGACTTACGTGATGTTTAGAAAAGTTAAGCTCTTTTAACTTTTCTAAAGAAAGGTGGTGGGCCCGGCGCGGTGGCTCAAGCCTGTAATCCCAGCACTGTGGGAGGCCGAGGCGGGTGGATCACGAGGTCAAGAGATCGAGACCATCCTGGTCAACATGGTGAAACCCCGTCTCTACTAAAAATA